CTCGTCGGCGGCTTTCGACTGAGGCGCGGTTAACTTCGGACCATGTTCGCATCGTCGAAGTTGGCCCCCGAGATGGTCTCCAGAACGAAAAGAAGTCGATTTCGCTGGAAACGAAGCTCCAGCTCATTGAAAAATTAGCGAAAACCGGCGTGACTACAATTGAAGCCGGGTCGTTCGTGCCGGCGAAATGGGTACCACAGGTATGGCCTGATCTGTCCCTCGGATGCTGATATACATAGCCGACGGCACGGAGAAGGATGAACTGACAGGATTAAATTAGATGGCAAGTACTGCAGAGATCTGTGAAAAGATTCTTCAGTCACCACCGCAATCGTCCAACACCATTGCCTACAATTACCTCGTTCCAAACGTGCGGGGGCTGGAGAGTCTCATCAAGGTCATGGATGCCGCAGAAACCGCAGCCGGGTCACAGTCCACATCAGACACCTCAACAGAGATCTCGCTTTTTGCTGCTGCCACCGAAGCATTCTCCAAGGCAAATACCAACTGCAGCATCGACGAGTCGCTAGAGCGCATTCGCCCCATCGTCACACTGGCCAAGACCAAAGATATCCGAGTGCGAGGGTACGTGTCGGTGGCTCTGGGCTGTCCGTATGAGGGTCCAGATGTTTCCCCGACCAAGGTGGCTGATATTACAGCCACTTTACTTGAGATGGGTGCCGATGAAGTGTCTGTTGCTGACACCACGGGGATGGGGACAGCACCACGCACGATGGAGCTCCTGCAAGCCCTCAAGGCGGCGGGAATCGCGAATACAGATTTGGCTTTACATTTCCATGATACCTATGGTCAGGCCTTGGTCAATACCATAGTCGGGTTGGAGCATGGCGTGCGGATATTTGACAGCAGTGTTGGTGGCCTGGGTGGATGCCCATACTCGAAGGGCGCGACGGGTAACGTGTCGACGGAGGATCTCATCCACACTGTTCATAGCCTAGGTATGAACACCGGCATCAGTTTGGAGGAGATGTCCAGGATTGGTGCTTGGATTAGTGGTGAATTGGGCCGGGAGAATCAAAGCAGGGCTGGAAAGGCCACACTTTCCAGGATTGAGGGCGGGTGTTGATTGCACCGCACCATCTTTTCAGTTGCATTTGCTCGAGAATATCTGACGTTTCTCTGATCTTTTATGTAAAATGTCACCACAAAACCGAAATCTTGGAAAACTATTAGATTTGTATTCTCATATTTCTTCCATCTTCCGACCTCCTTTGGGCTGATCTAATGTCTACTCCAAGGCGAAGGCACAAATGAATACTCAGAGTAATACCCTCTGTTCTGCATAGTTTAATATGACATTCGCCCCTACCATTGGCATTATCAGTCCCCACACGATCAACACTAGTACTAGCATAGACTCTGGGGACAGTAATTTCCTCCGGTTTGGCACCAAGCAACCGAATCCCCATCTGCTCTGCCTGTTAGATGACCATTTCTCGATGTATACGGCAAAACTTCCTTACTATTCTTCCTGCAGCAGCAGACCTTGTGACCAGTTATACATTCCGCTCCATGTCCCCAATCGCTTCTACATAGTTCGTGCTTTCGGCCACGGGGAGGGCAATCAGGTTCACCACAGAAAGGCCATTCGCCATACCATTTACAATCAACGGACGCCTCCTGTGCTATTATTGGCCCTATATAATTTCTTATTAGCGGGAAAGACCAAGTTTCAGTGGCTGCGTTTGAGCATATTACCTGCCAGAATACAGGCAAAGAAGAACCAAGTCAGCAGCATCTTTTTCTCTTCTTGTTCGGATTTTGCGATAACAGAGATGGGATGAAAGGCAGAGGCAAGACATGCGCAGCTATGTTGGTTAAAAATCATCCCACCGAGAAGATGGTATTAAAAGTGCCGACTCGGCTGTCCTATATTTTAACAATTAATATGTTAGGTAGGGTGGTTAATCACACCGTCTTCAAGTTGTCCAATGTGCGGTGATTTTTTTCTGTCTTTCTTTCTTTCTTCTATTCCCCCGGGCCTACAGCCTACGGCGAATTTTGTTGTTTGGAGAGAAACAATAAAGATAATGTGAATGAAAAAAAAAAAAGTACATGGAATATCCAATGCTGCTTTTCTCTATCTAGTCTAACTGCAAAAGATACAAATCAACCAATGGTATATAAACAAAACACTCAATGTGATTGTACGTATACATCACAAATACCTAACACCGGTCTATGCCGTGGTGACAGTCTTCAAAGCCTGGTCTAGGATAGACATAGCGGTCTTGATCTGGTCCTCGGTAATCGTCAAGGGAGGAACGAATCGCAGGCAGCCATCACCAGCCGTGATGATGAGCATGCCCCGTTCGCGAGCAGCGGTGATCAAATCCGCCGCCTTGGCAGTGTACTCCTTGGAGAGCTGAGCTCCGAGGATGAGACCGCGACCACGAATTTCAGAGATCACGTTGGGGTGCTTCTTCTGCAGGTCCTTGAGTCCAGCGACCAGCTGGGCCGATTTGACCTCAACGGCATTCTGCAGCTCCGACGAGGCAAGACGTTGGACAATGTGGTGTGCCACACGACACACGAGCGGGTTGCCACCGAAGGTCGTACCGTGATCACCGGCCTTGATGTGCTGTGCAACAGTCTTATCCGAGACAATCGTTGCTCCGATAGGAATTCCATTGCCCAGGGCTTTGGCAGTAGTGAGGATATCCGGGTGGGCGGGCTCACCAGTCGCCGGAGCGAGAGAGGGATGGGCGTGGGCCCAGAAAGTACCAGTGCGGGAGAGACCACACTGGATCTCGTCGTAAATCAGGACCGCACCAACCTCGTCGCAGCGCTTGCGCAGCGCAACGAGGAACTCCGGCGTAGCCACATTGACACCACCCTCACCCTGGATGGGCTCCACAATCACACCACAGGTCTTGTCGGTGATGAGTGTCTGGAGCTGCTCAACGTCGTTGTAGTTGCCGTATTTGAAGCCGGGGATCATGGGAGAGAAAGGAGTTTGGTATTTAGGGTTGGGGGTCGCGGACAGAGCACCCATCGTGCGGCCGTGGAAGGAGTTATGGAAGGAAACGAACTCGTGCTTTGCGCCAGAGGGATCAAGAGAGCGGCCGACCTTGCGAGCAAACTTGATGGCTGCCTCGTTTGCCTCGGTGCCGGAGTTGGCAATGAAGACTTGAGCGGCATCGCGCATTGCGCCAGATTCGCGGGTAGTATCAATGAGTAGTTTGCTGAGGGCACCAGTCCAGGCATTGTGGTAGAGGTTCGAGGCATGGATCAGAGTCTCGGCCTGTAGACACCGCATTGTCAGAACTGTGATCATTTTGAGCTCTTTTGGGGGAAGGGGGAGTACATGCCTGTTCGGCAATGATCTTGGAGATCTCAGGGTCACAGTGGCCCAATGAATTCACAGCAATACCGGCGGTAAGATCAAGATAGCGCCTGTTCTCCATATCCCACAGATAAGATCCTTGGCCCTTGACCATCGTAGGAGCGGGTCGAACATAAGTAGGGACCATGTAGGGAGCTCGGTCGTTAATGAAGGCAACCGTCGCCGAATCGGCTGCAGGATCAGGGTTGGGGACGGATGCCGTTTTCTTTTTCTCTCTTATTAGAATCCATATGATTGTTTCATAGAATTGGGATTGGGGCTACCCACCTTGACATTTGCGGCCTGAGTCGACGCAAATCGGCACTGAAGCGGTGACTCAAAGCCAGAAACGACTCGCTTTGCGAGTGGTAGTCGCCGCGAGGCCACACGGACAAAAGCCATTCTGGAGATAAGGGAGAGGGGAATTGATATCAGAACCAGGCGAAGAGAGTGGTGTGAGAGAGGGGGAGCGAATTGACGGGCAGAGGTTGGAGGGAGAGAGAATAAATAAGAGAGGAAGGAAAATGCCGCGCGCGATATCGGGAATGACTCGAATCGCTTATCAGATCCGCCACTCCGCAATTCTTCTCCAACTTCGTTCGACTCATCCCATGATTCATACCCTTCACGCACCTCCCACCCCACGAAATATCTCCCATATCTCCCACATCTCTCTCAATTCCAGCGATTATGGCATCGTATCTCATGGCCCGTCGGGCGCTCACCCCCACCACCAACGTGGTGCGTCTTTCTACCCGAACTTTCTCCCGCCGCACAGCTCTCCGCAGCGACAAGCCCCCCTTTGCATTCCGCCAGGGTCCTGCTCCCCCACGTCTGCCCAAGGAAGAACAGGAGATTTTCGAGGAGCTGCAAAGGAAATCTACCGGTGCTTTCAGCACACCACAAGTCAACCAGTCGCCCGACTCCGAGCCGAGCAATGAGAGCCCCGAGTTTCAGGCGACTGGCGAAGGAGAGGAACTGCACCCCGATCTGCGTTCCGGCGTTAAACCCGAATTTGAAGGCGAAAAGAACCCAAAGACGGGCGAGGTTGGCGGTCCGAAAAACGAGCCCCTGCGCTGGGGCGCTGGTGGAGATTGGAGCTACGGTGGACGCGTGACGGACTTCTAAATGATTGGGATCGACCTGGAGGTTTAATGCAAGTGAAATGAGTCGTGTGGGAGGGTACACTATTTGCATCAATGGCGTTGGTTAACTTGCGTTTCCATGGGGAAACAACATCGTGTTCTCTCCACTCTCTCCTGCGGTTGGAAGGATATGGGCGATATTTTAGAAATGGGGATATATGAATGCGGAGGAGATGTAAACAATTCACTGTACAATATTAGTTAACTTGTGATTTTGATCTAATTTTCAGAAATCCCGTGAAATAGAATATTATCCGGGTAGTTATGGGACGTTGATTTAATAATAGCATGTGTTTGATTGTCACGTAACCATGAGCTGCCTTTTTTTTTTTTTCGAATTCGGACAATAATAGTTCGGGGATCGGTGTCATATGTATTTCCAGAGTTAGTTCCGTGAGTTATCACAAGGTAAACGCAGCTCATTTAAAATATCAATCCAATCATTTTAATAAGTAAGTCTTTCTCCTCGTGTAAAAACTGTCGAAAAAAAAAACATCAACAAAAAGAGATGGAGTTGTGGGGAATCGAACCCCAGACCTCTCGCAGGTCTCATTTGGATATGCGAAGCGAGCGCTCTACCAACTGAGCTACAACCCCGTCTTAGGTGGCATTATGGCTGCCATAGTGAATCACAGTTCCATTGTGCAGATGGACAATATCACTACCGACCAGAGTTATCCGTTCAACGTAGAATTCTACACACCTCAAGATATATAATGGCTTCAGTGCAGATTCTCGACGGCGGTCTTGGGACTTCCCTCCAAGACAAATATGGGGTGTCCTTTGACGGCTCCACTCCACTCTGGGCATCTCACCTACTTGTGACCGACCCAACAACCCTGCAATCTTGTCAGCGTGACTTTGGTCTCGCCGGCGTGGATGTACTCCTCACTGCGACCTATCAAGTGTCTATTGAAGGATTTGCGAGGACCAAGACCCCCGACTTCCCCCAGGGTATTCCAAAAAACGCCATCGGACAATTTCTTCAAACCGCTGTCAGCATTGCGGAGCAGGCCAAGGTCCACGATCGCGCCAAGATCGCTCTAAGCCTGGGGCCCTACGGCGCATGTATGATCCCGGGGCAAGAATATAGCGGTCTATATGACCCCGAGCATGATGACGAGGAAGCTTTATTTCGCTGGCACCTGGAAAGACTCCGCCTGTTCACCGAGGCAGACGGAAATCTGATCGAACGGATGCAATATGTGGCCTTTGAGACGCTGCCGAGACTGGATGAGATCCGTGCTGTGAGGAGGGCGATTCACGCAGCCGGAATAAATCTTCCTTTCTGGGTTTCGTGTGTTTTCCCGGGCGAGGTGGATATCCTGCCCGATGGCAGTACTATTGAGCAGGTTGTTGAGGCAGCAATTGCTCCCATGGACGATGGAGACACTCCCTGGGGAATCGGAATGAACTGTACCAAGATCCACCGACTTCCATCTCTGATCAGGCTCGTCGGAGATAACGTTGCGCGACTCATGGCCTCAGGGAACTTATTAAACACTCCAAGCTTGGTAGTGTATCCTGACGGTACCAACGGGGAGGTCTACAACACGACAACGCAGAAATGGGAGAAGGTTGATCACGGCAGCACCGCTGAAAGAGATATGGTAGGGGTTCCTGTTTGGAAGAATTTGCTGCTTTACAACATGCTGACTCTATGTAGCGTCCTTGGGAGGTGCAGCTTTCGCAGATTGTTCATGATGCTCGCGCAAGGAATCTCTTTAAGTCCTTCCTTGTTGGCGGCTGCTGCAAGGCCTCTCACCGCGACATAGAACAACTTCGGCGACAGCTCGAAAAAAATTGAATTTTTGCAGAGACGGGAAATAAAACTTAGCTTGGCTATTACTAACTATTAAAACATATATATACATTTTTCCACTGTTTCAGACAATCCAGTCGACCAATCGTTTCCACCAAGAGCCCCCTAAGTCCCTTGTCACTACGATTTCTCCTTCCTGGAGACGACCAGACCATAGATCGATGTTGGACGCGCGAATGAACTTCATTATGAGTCAGCTACTGCCAAAATCATTGGAATAAATGTTATTGAAACACTTACCTTGGTACTGTGGTAAATCTTCCATCCAATTATTGGGACGATGAAGATCGGGATGCCAATATAGGATGCTACAAAGTCCGATGAATTCCAGTTTCCTTTGAGGAACACAGGGAAGCCTGCCACTAAAGTGATGATAGTGGAGCCGACAAAGCCCACCCACGCCGTGTACGGCTGGAAAGGGCTCTTCCAAGGCAGGGTATCTCGGCTAATTCCCTGTGCTTTCATTGCGGCGTGAAATCGAATATAACAGAAGCTGAGAGTTGCCCATGCGATTAGACCGGCAACGGTGCTGAGATTCAAGAGCCAAGTGAAAGCTTGGGCTGCGCCACCAGAACCGAGACCTGGACGGGATTAGCCGAGGGTATATATGTAGATGATTGATATGTTTGCTTACTCAAATATGCCAATGGCCCAAAAAGCCATGAAACTATGACCGCAACGTACGGCACTCCATTCTTCGTCACCCGTCCAAACACCTGTGGCAGCTGGTGATCTGTTGTCATGGCTACAATCATGCGTGAGCCGACCCAACAGTATGAATTACCGGCAGACCAGGCAGAGACCAGAATACAAGCGTTCACAATCGATGGCAAAGCGTTAATTCCGGCCTCTTTAATCGCAATGACGAACGGCGAGCTGTTCGCATTGTCAGACCCGGAGACAAGATTCTCATTGGTGGGATCCACAATCAGTCCAATGAGAAAAGCACCGAGAATATAGAAAAAGGCAATACGATATGTCACCCGGCGAGTAGCCTTAGGGATAGCCCGATGCGGATCCACAGACTCCGCCGCAGCGATGACGACCGTCTCAACACCGATAAAGCTGAATGACGCGTTGACAAAAGCAGACAAGAATCCAAGAAAATGACCGGTTGAGCCTGTGATGCCATTGTAATTCGTCCAAGCCCCAGGGTTGTTCCAATAACGAAACCCGATGGCCTCGTTGTTCGCACCGCCGGCAGTGATAATAATGGACACAAAGACCAACCCCACGAAACAGAGCACCTTGATAGCACCGCCGATGACCTCTGATTCGCCGTAGACCCGAACGCTCATCAGATTAATTGCCAGAATCAATACAAGGCCCACAGTGATGACCACGGCGGGAGTGATATCCGTCCAGAAGGAGACGATAACGGCGGCTGCCGATACTTCGGACGCAATCGCGATGGTATAGCAGTATCCATATGATATAGCTAGCGAGAACCCGACGGCCGGATCAATGAATCGCGTGGCCCAATGTGGGAAGGAACCTGCCGTTGGAAATAGGGTCGCCAGCTCGCCGATGCTTTGCATCACAGACCACAGGACCAGTCCCACCACCAGATAGGCAAGTAGTAGACCTGCAGGACCGGCTTTGGCATACGCCGAACCAGTACCGACAAAGAGACCCGTTCCAATGCCACTGCAGAATCCGATCATCATAACTTGGTAATTCCGCAGGCGTCGTTGGGTGGCACCGCGGCCCCCGATGTTTAGCTGCATATCGCCCTTGGAAGATAGACCGCCATCCCCAGTGAACGCCGGCCCACACGTTTGCTGGATATCATTCGCCTCTAACGTGTATGGGGGTTTCTCTATCTCATTGTTCGGCTGAGTCGCCGCATTCGCTAGTCCCATGATGGCCCGATATCCGTGGAATTTGCACCACAACAAAGTAAAGGGTATCTAGCTTGAAGGTACAGGAGGAGATGGTTGCATGACGGGCATGGTGTGGAGGTTTTTTTTGTTTTTTTTTGAGCTTCCCCCAACCATGAATGGCGACATCGGAAGCAATCTTCGCACCAGGCTTGTTTCGCCCCAAGCTCTGGTCTTTCCCCACTTGGACCGTACTTTGTCCTCCTCGGTTCAGGACTGCCTCGATGGTGATTGGGATGTACCTCTGGCACGAGGCTCCACTCTGTCCGGAGCGCAATAGACAATTATCCCAATCATTGAGTGTGATTATTGTCTTTTCCATTCCGTCTGCTTTGTCCTATCGGGGGTGGACCCTTTTTTGATCTCTTGCCATATGTTCAACCCTCTCGCTAACATTGTGACAGATTGCTGTCATTTTCCATTCGGGGTTTTTTTTATGTCTAAATCGGCTCTGTCCTGTTTAAGGCCTACATACATATCACTACTACAGCAACAGCATCCTGCGTCTTGGCTACTTACCGGCGAGTTCAACTGAGCAGTGGCAAATGTCGGATTTACGTCCGATTTTTGTATGAGGCTCTCAAGGGGATTGAAAGGGATGGAAGTTACCAAGCACGGAGTTCCTTCCCACACTGATCTGTGAAGAGTTGAGTTTGGTTTTCTTTTTCCAGGTCTCTAACCGATATTATGGCCTTAAGGCATCAAAATGCGCAGGCACGGCGTGTCACGTGCCCCACCCTTTATCAGCTGGCGCTTATCGCCAGCATCGACATCATCTGGATCACCTCGCCAGGTTTCTTCTCCAAAACAAATCCATTTCCGCATGCCATGATGATCTGATTTGAACAAAAAAGAATTTTACAATCTACTCCGTATCTGATCCAGCCACTTGTAGCGTACTGATGGTCTTACCAACGCGTCGACCCTTTCCTATCTCTCAATCTCGGTGATGCCTGGATCACCCACCTCCGAGGAAACACCCATGTTACCTCTCCCAGGAGCGCCCTCTTCCTCATGGGCTCAGTTTCGCAGCCGCTTTGCTGCCTTGTTCCAGGGTGCTGACCCCAAGGTTTGCGTCGCATTCTGGCTGTTTGGTAAGCCATTTGTTAATACATGTCAATCTTGAATCTTCAGTGACATATCTGACCTTCTGCATTCGAACAACTACGAGGTGAATAGGTCTGATCAACAATGTTCTCTATGTCGTAATCCTATCAGCAGCCCTTGATTTAGTCGGCCCCTCGATCCCGAAAGGCGTGGTCCTGCTCGCGGATGTCATCCCATCGTTTGGCACCAAACTCATTACTCCTTACTTTATTCATGTGGTGCCGTACTCAGTTCGAGTCGTAATTTTTGTTTTCCTGTCAGCAATCGGAATGCTTCTAGTTGCTCTGAGTCCTGCCTACACCGATGGCGGCTCCATATCTACCAAGATTGCCGGGATCATCCTGGCCAGCTTGTCTAGTGGTGCGGGGGAGTTAAGCTTCCTGGGATTGACGCATTTCTATGGACCATTCAGCCTCGCAGCATGGGGAAGCGGTACGGGGGCGGCGGGATTGATAGGTGCTGGCGCCTATGCGCTGGCGACGACATCCCTCGGTCTCAGCGTGAGAAATACTCTCTTGGCTTCGGCTTGTCTGCCGGCTGTGATGATTGTTAGCTTCTTTGCCATCCTTCCGCGGTCGTCAGTACAGGCAGAACGCCGTGTCGTAGGTAGCCAGAGCATGCTTGTGGAAGAACGTGGAATGGACGATGATCGCCATGAGGCCTTGGGTGAGCGTGATGGCCTTCTCAGCCCTTCGATGCACTCGGACCAAATTCAGAAGCCGAGTCTTGCCGACAAACACGGGACTGGATGGCATCAATTCCAAACCAATCTTCGTCGCGCAAAAGGA